GGCTGCCGGGATGCCTGGCGCTTCTCTGCCTCCCGCAGGTTGGTGGGTCCACACCCACTTGCCAGATGCGAAAACCAAGGCCGGGCAGGCCCCTGCGCCCCGGAGCCCGGCGTGGCTGTGAGTCCGCCTGGTCCTGAGAAGCCGAGTGAGCAGCTGGCCTGAGGCCCATGATGGGGCCAGGCAGGGGCTGCTCTCTGCCTCAGTTTCCTCATCTGTCCAGTGGAGCCAGTTTCCCTACAGGCAGGTGCCGATGAGGATCCTGGCAGAGCCTCATAAACTATGGAGGGCTGTGCACACGTGTCTGTAGGGATCTGGTCAGAGGTAGCCACGGCACCAGGAGAAGGTCACCTCGCAGCCCCGCCAGACCTGCGCCGCGGCAGGGAGGCCGGCGGACACCCCCACGTGGCAGAGTGGGGCACCGGCTCCAGCCGCGTGGTGAGTAGCTGGCAGAGCCCAGGCCCTGGCCGCAGGAACAGTCAGAGGGGAAAACAGACAGGAGGAAGACAAGGGGCCAGGAAGGGAAACTGAGACCCAGCTAGGGGAGAGACAAGGCCCCAGGCCTGGGAGCCACACAGACCTGTGTCCGAATCCCTCTTGAGCGGGGCCCTCCACTCCTTGCCGCCCTGACAGGGACAGCAGGTGGGCGAGGACTCCAAGGACAGTGCCAGGTGAGGGCAGGCCGCCCGCGTGCTGCTGCGGGGAGGCCTTGGCCAAGTGTCGTTACTGCTCTGTGCCTCGGTTTCCCCATCGATAAAATGGGTGACACCAAGTCTGGCGTTTTGAGGACGGAAAGTGCCGTTGTGTTGGGGACCACCCAGAACTGCACCCCCCTGCGTGACTGCCCTGGGGGCCGCTGCTCCTTCCTCTGCTGGTGGCCTGCGGAGCTGGCGGTCCTCCTGGGGTGACAGACGCTGTCTGGCGGGAGCCGTGGGGGCCCTGGCCGAGGAGGGGCAGCACCCAGAGAGCCCCACCTGGTGGGTGAGTGGCCCTGGGGACCCCGCTGGCAGGTTCCATCGGCGCAGGGCCTGGCCGGGCACCCAGGAGGCTCTCCCTCCCCCGCCCGGGCCTGTTAGAATCGCGCATTCCAGCCCGGTGTTGAGGGGCGTGGGCGGTGGCAGCGGGTCCAGGCTGCAGGGCTCGGGGTGCGGCCACTGCGCCGCCCTCTGGGCCCCAGTTTCTGTTCGTGGAGCAGCTGGACTGGAGGGAGGGACTCGCCGGTGTCGGCTGCAGACCTGCCAGACCCAGGCCGGGTCCAGGCGCAGCCCCTGCGGGAGGGCAGGGCCGTCCCCCTCTCCTCTGTCCTGCCGTGGCCCGAGCTGCCCCTCTGCCCAGCGGTGGGAAAGTCTGAATCTGTTGCTATTTTCTGCCTGTTATCGGCCTTATCTGGCGGCCGTGTGCCCAGAGGCCAGGCCCCCCGGCGGTGTTGCGCCCCTCACTGCGGCCCAGGGCCAGCAAGGGGAGCTGGGGGTCTCCCCTTCTCCCCCATGGCCCTGCCCAGGCCCTGCGCTGCCCTCGCCTCAGTCGCCACCCCGCCCCGTCCTTCACCACGTCCACCCACAGGGGAAGATGAGGCACCCCCATGAAGGGCGGAAACCATGGCAGCAGATGCGGCGACGGCCTTGCGCCTGGGCTCAGCACCCACCGCCCCGGCCCTTGACCAGAGATGTTGACACCCCCGTTGTCCATGGGGACACGGCTCAGGGAGGAGTGTCCCCCCAGCCTCAGTGCCCTGCTGTCCCTCTGTGGGACTGCTTTTCCCTGACCCCGTGCTGGTGACCTCCTCTCCCCAGCAGACCTCCACTTGCCACTTCCTCCAGGAAGCCTCCCCTGATGGCGCCTCTGCCTCTTCGTCCTGGCCAAGGCCACGCTGGCGTCTCTCCCTCTTCTCTTGGGGGTGGGTGTCGGTCCCCTCCAGAGCTCCAGCACCGGGTGCAGGGCTGGCGCAGTGGGGGCTCAGGAAGGGGCGCCGAGCGGATGGGGAGGGTAAGTGAACGTGTGGTGTGTGGGTGGAGGAGCAGCGACAGGAGGCTGGGCCGAGTCTGCCCCCGCCGCCGGGTCAGCCAGGTGCCCCTCTCCTGGCTCTGCGCCACCCGGGGATCCGGGGTGCCCTGTGTCCACCCTGCCTCGCAGCCGCCTGCACCCCGCTTCTGCTCTGCAGAATCAGAATAAAGGGGCCCAGCCCAGCGAGGCCTCACGGAGGTGACCCTGTCCCGGGCGGGCACACGTTGCCCTTGTGTGGGGGGAGCTTGCCCAAGGCCACAGCGCCTGGGGACCGCAGGGACCTCGCCAGGAGCCTCAGACGCCCCGTCCGGCCCCGTCTGGGTCCCACCCGGCGGGGGCTGCAGTCCGGGAGCTTCCGTCCCCTCCTTAGCGGCCACGCCGGCTTTCGCGGGGGTGTCGTGCCACAGGGGCCCCCCAGCACCTCGACATCAAGCGGGAGGGGCTGCGTTAATTGTCGGCGCGGACTCGGAAGGGAGTTGGGATCACCCCGCCGCACAGAGCCTGTCTCCGTAATTCAGTCTTAAAGCATGAAAAAGGGAGTTGATGAAATTCCGCTATCAGCTCTGAGCCAATATGCAAAATATCTCACCCCCAATCAAATAGCTATTATGTTTTCATTTCCATTTCGGCGTCCGGCTTAATGAGCAGGAGACGGATGGGCGCGCGGGCGCCTGCTCGCCGCGATAACCCGGGGACTCCGGGCACCGAGGGGCCGAGCCCAGCACGGCCCTGGCGCTGGTGACCGCACGTGGCCGGCGGGCGCCCCAGGCAGGTGGTCCTGGGCGGGGAGGGCGGGGGGCTGGCGGGCATCGGGAAGGGTGGAGTGTGGTCCTGTCTCGACGCCCCGCCCCCGCTTCCTCGCTGAGGGCCAGGCTCGCGTCAGCCGTCCTCTGGGCCTCAGTTTACTCATCCGTAAAGGGGGCATGACTCGGGCTTGCCTCGGGGGTTTGGGGCATGTGTTGGTGGGTGGGACTCATGCCAGGGCCACCCTCGGGGTCCTGCCTCCCCTCTGCCCATCCCCGGCACACCCCCCTGCTGTCCCCCTGCCCCTCCCTGCACACACCGCCCCTCACGCGGAGATCTGAGCCAACGCCAACCTTGGCACCTCCGCTCCCACCCTAAATGAAGGCAGGTCATCCTCCCCGGGCTCCGCAGGCGTCAGGGAGGCGTCTGTGGAACGGGGGTCTAACAGCTCACGCCTGCCCTCTCCCAGGCCTGCGGGCTGCTGGCGGTGGCCGTGGGTGGTAGTGACCGCTGTTTGCTGAGCACTTACTGTGCGCTGAGCCCCGGTGACGTGGGTGGACAGTGCATTTTGTCCTGTGTGCTGGGAGCCACTGGGAGTCCCGTTTGTAGACAAGGAAACCGAGCACAGAGAGGTAGAGTGACTTGCTCAAGGTCACACAGCCAGGACACAATATGCATCCATCAACCTGCCTGGCTGCAGGTCAGCCTGGACCAGCTGTTGGGGGCCTGGGCAGAGCGGGTGGTCCCCAAAGGGCATCTGAGGAGGCAGCAGGATACAGCTGTGGCTCGAGGATGCCCCTGGCCAGCGGGGTCCCCAGCCACCCCTGGACCCCAAGTGTGCACGGACAGGGCCCAGCAGGGATGGGGCCGCACGCTCCGGGCCGAGGCGGCCCAGGGCAGAATTTGCCTGCCGCGTCCCAGCGCGGCTGTGCGATTTGCGGCCGGCGGTGTCTGCGGCATTGTCAAGGCCGAGGCAATTGTGCTGGAACTGAAATTAGCCTGCAGCCTCTCCACGCTCATTGTCACGGCTTTGTGCGGCGCGCGTGCCTTTGTTCTCCGTAAATGGGAGAACCCGTCACACTACCACACGCTTGGGGCCTCCCTGGGTATCTGCGGCCCCCCCTGGGAGGGGCACCAGGCGTCAGGGCTGCCTTCCTGGGGCGCAGCAGGTGCGGGCCGGGGCGTGTCTGCCGTGGGCCCCCGTGGTCTGGTCCCCGACGTCCCTGAAGACAGGCGGCCTCAGACTCATTTGCCGGAGCAGGCGGCCGCGGCCGAGGCCCTGCAGCTGCCCCGCAGGAGGGACCACAGCTCTGGCGGAGCCTCTGCCAGCTCCAGACGAGCCATAGAAGAGACTTCTAGAAAGAGGCAGGCAGTTGGGCTGACGAGTGTGGCCACCAAGGCTGCGGTGGCCGAGGGCCCCTGACCTTGGGGACAGGCAGTGCCAGCGCAGGGCTGACCCCGCAGGCGGGGGAGGGGGCCGGCTGCCGCTGCGGTCGCGGCGTTCCCTGGAGCGTGCCGAGGTCACGCGGGTCAGGGCTCCTGTCCCAGGGGCACGAGTCGGACCGGTCTGGGGCGTGCCGTGCCCAGCTGCCGTGTGGGCGCGCTGATGAGGGACCGCAGGCCTTAGCCCGGGGCTGGCTCCTGTGTGGTCTGAGCCCAGCCCCTGCTGTAATCACAGCTCTGCGCTGCTCTGGGGAGGCCGGGACTCGTGGTCCGGAGCTAGACTCCAGAGGGCTGCAGCTGGGAAAGCAATCCTGCCACCCCCTGCCTGGGACCCTCCATGGCTCCCCAGTGCCCCAGGATTAGGGTCCACTCCTCCCCGTGGCCTCTGAGTTAGCGAGGTCAGGCCTCTGCCCTCCCCTCGGCCTCAGTCCGGCCACACCCCACCCCAGCCTTCCTCTCCTACCCTCCCTGGCCCGCCCCCCGGCCTTGGCACGCTGCCCCGTCTGCCCAGCTCTCTGCTCAGCTACTGGTCCGGTACCAGCAGGGTTGTCACCTTGGAGACCAGCTGCCAGCATCTCCCCTCGTTTTTCTGTCTTTCCCTCTGTCGCCTCCCTCCCTCATTGCACTTTTACGGCGTTTTTGGTCTGAGCCCGTCTCTGGTCCTGGCCGCCCCCCGCGGTCCCACGCGGTCTGGCAGTTGGGTGAACCTCGGGTCCTAGAACGGCGTCTGGCCCTGGTGGCCGCAGTGATCAGAGAGGGACGCCAAAATCCAGATAGAACATCGGCTTTCCCCTCCGCGCCCCCCGGAACAGCCGCTCTGGAAGTCACCTGGGAACCGCGTCCCAGCACCGCTTGCCGCCCGCAGCCCCTGGGGTCTACGCTGACATGAGCCGCTTCTGCGGCCAGTGTGGGACGCCAGCCTCGGTGACGGGTGGGCAGGTGTCCCAGGCACCCGCAGGCCCCTCTTCCTCCATCTCCTGCTTTTCCCTGGAAAACCTGCGGGGGTCGGCCGGGGCCAGGAGGACACCGGGGACTTGGTGAGAAGGGTCCGGCCCTCTGTGTGTCCCTGGGGTGGCTCCGGGTTTCACCATGTTCCTGGAGGGTCATGAGGAAGGTCGGCACGACCGAGCCACAGAGGCACAAACCCCGGGCAGTTCCTCATCCGCTCGTCCGCTTGCCCCCAGGGACGGGGAGCTCACCCTCGCGAGTGGTCATTCCGCCTTGGCTCAGGCCTCCCCCAGAGCCGCTGCTCCGACCGCCCACCGTCCAGCCCCGCCGGGCTGTGAACTCGCAGCCGTGGACGGGTTCTCCTTTTCTCCTGCTTGTTTCCTTGAAACGAGGGGCTTGGCTGCTGCGGGGGCCGTGGCCTGGGTGCCCCCCCTGCCTCATGCCGTGGGCGGGGGTCGGGTCAGGCGCTGCAGAGGATGAACTTGGGAGGTCATGGGGGCAGGGGGTGACCCCATGCCCGGCTGCTGTCTCTGAGCCACAGGACCGGGGCCCTGGGGAGCAGTCAGAGGTAGGGCGAGGGGGACACGTGGGTGCCAGCGTCCCGCAGTTCCCCGAGGTGACACCGTCACCTGACCACAAGGGGAGGTTGCATCCTGACCTGTGGGGTCAGGAATGGCCGCCCCTCTGTGGGCCGTGAGGACTTGTCTCCATCTGCCTTGTCACCTGTGGAGACCCTGGTGCCCCAGTCTCTGAGGGGAGCGGGGTGAGAGGGTCCCCAGCTTGCTGCGGATGCCTGTGCCCCGCCAGTCACTCACTCACCCGACCGCGTCTGTGCGCGCCTCCCTTCTGCGGGCCTGCGCTGGGCGCTGGCGCCCACCCCCAGGGAGTTCCCAGACCGTGGGGACAGAGTGGGGGGAGCCCTCAGGGACTGGGGGCCCCGGGAGGCTTCCAGGAGGAGGGCAGGCACGGGGGCACGGGGCAGAGACTGTATCTACCCCCACGCTGGTGCTGGGGGAGCAGGTGGGAGAGAGACACAGGAGGGGCCGGGACCTCATGCTGGCGGTCAGGGAGTCCGTGTGGCCGGCAAAGGTCAGAGGGCAGGCAAGGTGACCCCGAGGCTTTGCAACTGTTGCAGGGGCTGGGGGTCGCCTGGAGGCCGTCCCCTCACGGCCTCTGACCTCAGTGCGGCGGCTGATCCCCGCCTCCGCCCGGGCACCCGGGGCCGCGCCTACACGGGGAGGGCTCAGGAGGTCGGGGGTGGGGGGTCTTGCCCCAAAGCACATCACGGACCCCCTCGGGCTGTGTCCGCAGGTTCCCTCGGAGACATGGAGTCCAGAGAGGAGGTCCAGGCCACGGACGCCAGCCTTGCAGAGCGGGAGGCCGCGGCGCCCGAGCCCCGGAGCCCTTCCAGCGCAGGCGAGTCTGGCGGAGCCCTCCCAGCCCCGCGTCCCACACCCGGTGTCTGTGGCCGACCGTGCCTGGCGCGGCCAGGACAGGCCAGGTGTCTTGCAGCCAAGGCCTGTCCCCAAGAGGGCCTGGGGGGTGGCAGACACACACCTTAGCACGCGGTTTGGGAAGTCCGGCCCCTTGTGCTGCAGACGGGGAGACTGAGGCCTGGATGGAGGGCCCCAGGGTTAGTTGGGGACTCATAGGGGCCCCTGAGTAACCTCGGGAGAGCCACACCCCCTAGCCTCAGTTTCCCTCTATGACATGGGGATCCGAGGCCTTCCTCCTTGGGGGCTGTGGGGCCTGCCGAGCGTCCCGCTTGCCTCCGCACGCGGTTAAGGCGCGCACCCATTTTGCAGACAAGCCAGTGAGGCCAAGAGAGGTTGAGTGACCTGCCCAGGGTTGCGCAGCCTGTAAGGACTTGAGTAGAGACGGCTGACTCCCCATCTGCCTGCTCGTCACCCTGCTCCGGCACCCCACACTCCCCTCGGGCCCTCCCGGGGGCAGGGCATTTCCCAAGGCCCTCACCCTCCGGAAGTGAATTAACCTGACTGGGCCCAGGTACCCGCGGGGGGCCAGGGGTACCCCAGACACCCGGGAGGAGGGCCTCAGAGGTCGGCACCCGCACCCGTTTTCCGGGGTCTGAAAAAGCAGCGGCCAGTTCCTGGGGGCTCTGCCTGGCCTGGAGCTGCCCCCCCACTAGCAGCTGCTCAGCTGCGAACCTTTGCACGCAGAGTCTGAGCCGCTCCCCCGAGTCTGACGGGGACATCACCACAGCCAGGCCATCTGGGAGGGCGGGGAGTAGGTGGTGTGTCCAGAGTGAAGGCGAGGTGGGGGTGGCCGAGGAAGAGCCCTGGGGGTAGGTGACATTGAGCAGAGACCCTATGGACGTACGGAGCTGCCCATGTGCCCCAGGGATGGGCGTACCAGGTGGTGGCACTGGCAGGTGCAAAGGCCCTGGGGCAGGATGGGAGGCAGGCACAAAGAGCTCTGCAGGGCACTACGGGGTGCCAGGGAGAGGCTGGGGGGCCGTGGAGATCCCAGACAGACTTTGGTCCCTGGTGGATGGGGCTTCTCGCTGGACCCCCCACCCCGGCATCTTCAGTCTCAGTGTCAGAGTCTCTGACGCGACAGCCACAGGCCTGGAGCCCACGGGCCTCCTCCCCAGAACACGCACACCCAGCCGGCCGGCCCCGGGCCCTCGCAACAGCGAGGCCCTTGGGTCCCAGGCCTGGGGGACTTGAAGCCAGGCTGCCGTCACCCTCAGCTCCCCTAGGGATGCTCCCCGCCCCCGACGTGCTGCTGCTCATTGTCATCTTTGCCGTCATCCTCACGGTCGCACGTTGCCCGGGGATGCAGCCAGGACTCGGCGGCCTGTCTCAGCCCTCTCTGAGCCTCCGTGTCCGCATCTGCGGGCCGGGTGCGAGCCCAGCAGCTGTGGGGAGAGGGCACGCCTGAGGCGTGTGCAGTGCTCCCAGGTGGCCGCTCCCGTGGCCCTGCCACCGTTGTCACCGTGAGGTGCTGCCAGGCCGGCCGCTGTGGGAGCCTGATGGAGGGGCCGCGCCAAAGGGCAGGTGGCGCGTTGCGGGCGGACTTTGACCTGGGCCGGAGTTCCGGGGAGCCGGGCTCCCTATCTGATCTGGGGGCCGGGGCTGCACGGGGGCGGGGGTGGGGCCGCGAGGGAGCTGGAAAAATCAGCCAGGGCTGCACCTGGCACAGGCCTCGGCGATAATGCCGCGATGGGCGCGATAAGGCGGCGCGGGAGAGTATCTGCCGCTCAGGCGGGTCCGGCGTGGCTCCCTCGCGGTGGCTGGAGCTCAAATGCCAGCCACTTTGATTTATAGCCAAAAATAATGGGACTTTTATACTGCGTGATTGATTTATTTGATGTTAATCACGGCCCTTATCGCGGGCATTAATAATCTGCTGGGCGCGTGACGTCACCAAGGGGGGGCTTTATGGGAGCTCATCGATTGGGGGCCGAGGTGGTTATCAGGCCCGGCCGGGAAGGCAAATATGCCCTTTGGGCTGGAATTGGGTGCGGGGCCTGGTGTGGGGCCCCCAGCTGCCGGCAGAGGGGACAGGGAGCTGGAGGCCACACATGCGCCCGCTGGCCTGGGCGTGCCGTAAGCCGTCCTGTGCTCTAATTATTAATAGCAGCCGGAGTAACAATTATTATTACGGCAATTAATGATGGGGATGAGGGGTTTTAAAGGCCAAGAGGAAAATTGGGATGTCTCCGCCCTCTCCCTAGTTAGAGCAAGCCAGGACGGGCCAGGACAGGGAGGTGACTTTTTTGGACCTGTGCTCGCCCACCCTGACCTCCCACCCCCACCTCGGTAGCCCTCCCCGCCGCAGGGGGGCGGCTTGGGGCCAGGTCTCGGCAGGGATGTAATGACGATCTCTTCTCTGCAGACGTTAAGTCACCCCCACCGCCACCACCCCCCACATCCCCAGGAGGCCCCGAGGAGACTGAGGGGACGGAGCCCGGGCCCCGGGAGGAAGAGGAGGAGGAGTCGGGCAGCCCCTGGAGCGGGCCAGGTAAGGCGAAGGAGGGCGGGGCGAGGTCGGGCAGCGTTGCGTGCCCAGGCTGGAGGCAGGCGCCCCGTGCCGGTGCCCGCGCTAGATCCCAGGTGGACGGTGCCAGCAGGTGCGCTGGAGCCGGGTCTGGTCCGGGCTGTGAAAGGCGGACACGGGGCAGGGGCAGGAGAGCGCCCAGGAGGCGGGGACAGTGGGGCAAAGGGGGCTGGAGGGGGGCCGCGTCTAGAGCCTCCTGGGCCGGCCTTCCCTGCCCGGTTGGGATCCGGAGCAGTTTCAGGGCACCAGGCGGGGCCGGGCCTGGGCGGGGCAGGAGAGGACCCCGCCCCTCTCCTGGGAGGCTGCGGCCGGGAGGGCCTGGGCCACCGGAGCGTCCTAGGGCTCTGCAGCTTGCAGCTGGAGTTCTGACCCCAGAGATCCTGCAAACGGGTTCTCCCTGTGGCTGCCCCTTGGGGACTGCGTCAAATTCCACCCACTGTGAACACGGGAAAGCCCAGGCCATTAGGCCGTGTCTGTCCTTCCTGACTGATCACTCACGCGGCCTGGGCGCCTGGGGTGGATTTCCGGGGCTGCCCACCGAGGCCCTGGCGGGGCGGGGTGGGGCCGCTGGCAGGTCCTTGGAGAAGGGAGGGAGAGGACGGAGGCTGAGTGCTCAGGCCGGCACATGTGTGGATGCAGCAAGCACGTATGGAGCACCTGCTGCATACCAGGCATACAGCTGGGAGCCTGAAGAGTGTGCGAGTCCACGTCTGTGGAGCAGCAAACGGGGACGTGGGCGTTGGCGAGGGCCTTGCCGGCTGGGGGTTGGGGGCTTTGCTGAGACAGGACTGTCAGGGTGGTCTCCCGGCAGGGTCCCAGGCCTGGGGAGCAGGGCGCGGGGGCTGACGCGTGCTGTCTGTGCAGGCGCCGAGGGGCCGCGGTGGCTGCAGCTGTGAGGTCCCGGCTTGCTTAGCACAGCAGGTCCCACGGGGGGTGGGGCCAGAGAGGGAGGGGCTGGGCTGCTGGCGCTGGAGCATCGTGGCCACCAGTCCCTGGGGCTCCCCCTGCCTCCCCCAGGAAGGGCCGGGCGTCCAACACAGCAGATGCTGGGGTCCCACACGTCGGGGCCCAGAGATAGCAGGAGAGGGCCGGGTGCCCTGGCGTCTTCTCCCCACCAAGGAGCACCCACCAGGGGACAGGCCCGCAACTCGCCTGTCCTGGGGTCTCAGGCAGGGGCCGGCACCCTCCCTGCTGCGTCGGCATTGCTCTGCTGGTCTTACACGGGGGCCTGCGCTGACTGCCTCAGTTTCCCCTGCTGTAGAATGGGTAGCACTGTGGGCCCCCCCCGCAACTCCCTCAGTGGAAACTGCCCGTGGGGCAGTGGCGGCCCCCACTCTGCAGGGCAGGAGGCCCTGGCTCTGGGCGGAGGGCCGCGTCCTTGGTCTCAGGCTGGGGAGCGGCAGGGCCGGGGTCTCATCGGGGGTCTGGCCCCAGAGCCCAGCTGCGGGCTCCTGAGCGTGGGCGTCCGTCCTCACCCCGCTTGGTGTCTGGACACCCCTGGGGCGCCAGGTCATTGCCCTGTTTTCCAGGTGGAGAGTGGAGGCCCAGGGACAGGGGCTGGACCGGGAGGGCTGGCCCAGGGCTCGGCCGTGGTCGGGGCTGGGGCTCCCGGGCTTCCTGTGCTATTGCGCCCGCGGGCCGGAGGTGCCCTATCGGTGCCCGCAGATACGGACTCGGGGGCAGTGGGCGGCAATGGGCAGATATGCGGCTGCGCCAACCGCCGCAGCGGCACCGCCTATCATGCCCGCACAGGCCACGCTATCGCCCGCCGGGAAGCCAGGGGGGCCCAGGGGGCTCTTATCTCCCTGTGTCGGCCTGGGGCACCGGGGCTTCGTGGGCGGCGGGTCAGCGGCCCTGAGGGCAGGGCCTGGCCAAGTGGCCCGAGTGCAGCAGGGCTTGGCCGCCTTCTACCAGCCCTGGGTCCTCATCTGTCTCCCCGTCTCCCCCCATCTCCCCCCATCTCCCCGTCTCCCCCCATCTCCCCACGTCTGCTTCCTGACCTCTGGTCTGCAGCATCTCCCAGCCCCGCCGTCCCCGAGTACGGGCACGGTGCAGGCCCAGACCCTGCTGGCAAGGCCGGCCGGGGGCAGCATCCTCCTCCCCTCTCTGGGGCGAGGGAGGCCTGGCTCTGACCCGGCGCACCCTGTACCACCTGGCTTCGGAAAGTGACTGGGCCCGAGCCTCAGTTTCCCACCCGTCCCGTGTGAGGTGGGACCCAGCCACGTGGGATGACCTGGAGCCCAGGGCTCGGTTCTGAGCAGGTGCTGTCCACGCTGGCCGGACCTGGGTCATGGGTGTCCTGGGCCCTCCACCCCGGCCAGACCCATCTCCCAGGGAGGGCGGCCAAGACACCAGCAGGGCAGAAGGCGCCAACGTGAGCCCAGCGGAGAGGCCCGGGCTGGGTGCTGCCCTGCGGCTCCACGGTGGGTGCGGCGAGGCTGCCCTGCCTCGTGGGGGTCAAGGCTCCAAGCAGGTGGCCTTGAAGACCCCAGGAGGTGCCCACATGCACCAGGCAGAGGGGGGCACCCCTCTCTGCTCCCCAGGGGTACCTAGGAGGCCTCGACACGCTGCAAAGTCCAGTGAGGTCTTGGACGTGCAAGCGCTTTATAAACACTAGAGTGCTGCTCCCGGGGCCTGCGACTGGCCATCATCATGGCTTCCTGTCATCTCCTGACCCTGTTACAGCCCCCACCCCAGCTCCCTTCTGCCTCTGACTGATACCTGGTGACCCCAGAGCTCCAAAAACGTGCTGGGGCGGTGCTCAGTGCGCGTTGGTTTCCACTCTAACGAGTCCCCAGCATTGCCACTGCGGGCGGCTGTCCCAGGGTGCCGCTACCTCAGACAGAAGCCCCCGAGCTGTGCCGAGAGGCAGAAGCACAGACCAGCAGCCCTAGCTCTGCTGAGTGACGCAGGTGGCCGTGTGGCCTCTCGAGCCTCAGTGTCCACGTCTGTAAAATGGACCTGCGGGAGCAGCCGTCTCGCAGGGCCACGTGAGAGAGCAGAGCCTGGCGGGAGCACGTGCCCCGCATCTGGGCTGTCATCCCTGCCACCTCACCACTCGTCTGGCACTGAGGCTCCCGGCTGGGAGCCCGGGGACCCATCTGCGGTGACACTGCAGTGTGGCCTCTGCGTCCGGCCTGCTGCGGGGTTGGAGGGCTACAGGTGAAGACCATGGTGGTGGCCGGGGCAGAGCCACCGGGGGACGTGTGCGGAATGCCAGCGGCAGTCACCCGCCAGGCCCAGAGCACAGGACGGCCAGACCCTTCCCTCCCAGAGATCCAATCACATCCGCAAATGAGCCCTGAAGTCCATGAGAAAGTGGTGATTCCGAGGGGGGACGGCCTCAGAGGGGCCTCCCGGCGCGGGAGGGGTCTCGTGGCCAGGGAGAGGGTGCAGAGGCCCCGCGGTGGGCAGGGTGGGGGCAAGGTGGGCGTGAGCTGCCCGGGGGCCTGTGCACTTTGACTCCAGCAGGGCGGGGGACAGGGCAAGGCTGGGGACAGGGCTGAGACCTGACTGGTCTCATGGGACCCTCTGGCTGCCCTGTGGACCCGGAGCCCCTCCTTGTCTGTCCAGGGAGGCACCCAGGGTGGGGAGGGCGGTCTGAGGCCTGCTGCTACGGCAGGACTGTCTGTGTGGCGCCATCCTCAGCTGGGAGCAGGAGGAGACCTCAGGAGGCCCACGTGGGCTTTCCGCCAGCGCTGCGGGTGTGGAGCAGCGCAGGGCAGCCGGGCTCTGTGGGTGCAGGACGGAAGGTGTTGACGGGGGTTTGGGTCAGGGAGGTGAGGCGGGAGGATCCCTTCACCCGTAAGTGTCTCGGGGCCTGGAGCTCTTTTCTGGGAACCACCTGAGTTACAAAACAAAGTCCAAGCGGGCAGAGCCTTGAGCAAGCGGGGAGCACAGGTGAGGCCCACGCCTGGGCAGCGGGAGCCGGGGGACAGCCCAGAGCCAGCATGGTCACCTGCGCACGCAGTCTCCCGGGAACGCCCAGAGCAGCGGCACCCTGGCTCCCGCCCTGAGCGTCAGCTCTGCGTGGCGGTGCTGCCTGGCCCAGGGCACCCCTGGCTGCACCGAAGCAGGGCAGGGTCCTCGGTTCTGGAATCCCCCAGAGGCACGAGGAGGCCACCTGGGCACGCTGCAGTGTTGTCTGCCGTCCTCGGGGGTTGACGCAGACCTTCTCAGTGGGCTTGGAAAACATATCGTGGCCTGGCCTTCTGGAAGGGTTTTCCATGAGGAGGGACTAGCCTGGCAAAGCTGAGCCAGTGGGAGGCTGAGGGGTGGTGGCAGCAGGTGGGTGGTGGGTGCAGGTGCGTGGTGGGCGGGGTTGCCCCCCGACAGCTGGCCAGGGCCTGGCTCTCTCCTGAGGGCGGGGGCTGGGGTACCCCCAGCTGGAGCCAGGCCTGGGAAAGAAGCCACGCGGGGGTGGGGCTGGAGGCAGCGTGCGATGGGGACACTCTTCGTCTGTGCCGGTTCCCGGGGGTGGCAGTCCAAGTCCCTCCTGGAGCAGACCACCCCCCTGCAGGGTCAGGACCCACAGCCCCGCCCCGCCCCCCCTGCCTCTGGGGCGGAGTGGGGCCTGCTCCCCAAAGCCTGGGCCTTGGGCAGGGAGGAGCCTGGGGTTCCCTGAGCCAAGACTGAGCAAGGGGCCCTGCCAGTCCCCGAGGCCCCTGCCTGGGGTGTCCCCGCTTCAGGCTGAGGCTCAGAAGTCCCAGCTGCCCTGGACCAGGAACAGAGAGAGACCGACACCCACACACCGCTGGGCCGCAGAGCAGGACAGGGCGCCGCGTGCTCAGGACTTGACAGCAATCTTTGCTGAGCGCCGGCAGCAGGTGTCGAGCTAACTCTCAGCACCGGTTATCTCTGTGGTCCTGCCAGGGAGGTGCTCGCGGATCCCATCTTACAGTTAGGGAAACTGAGGCTCGGCCGTGGAGGGTGCAGCTGGGGGGTGCGTGGTGCCGTGACTGTGGGGGCCTCTGGGCTTCGTTTGAGTGCCTGCCCCGGCCTGGGGGGCCACGCACGTGCCCCTGGCCTGGCTGTTTGATCTGCAGGGCCCCAGAAGTGGAGTTTGATTCACCTGTAAGCATCTCGGGGCCTGGAACTCTCTTCCCCGGCCTTTCCCTTCACTCCCAGCAAAGTGAAATCCGACGGCCGGAGCATCGGCTGATGCCTCTTCTGTCCACGGCTCCGTCCCAGGCCCCGGAGGCAGAGAGGGAAGCTGGCCTTGTCTCTAGAACACTGCCAGGCGGCAGAGTGTACACCCAGGGGTCAGGGCCGGGTGTGACAGATGGGAGGGCCAGCAGCACTGCAGGACGACGGCCTGCCCCTGTCCCCAAGCTGGGCCTAAAGGACAAAGCAGAGTGGGGCAAGGGTGTCCGGATGAGGAGCTGCCACATGCAAAGGGCCTGAGGCTTGAACAGCGTGTGGTGGCTGGAGCATTAGGGGCCGGGGGATGGGCAGAGACAGCACAGGGCACTGGCGGCTCAGGTTTGGGCTCTGTGTGTGGACTGCAAGGGATGCCTCAGTTTTCCTGGCTGTAGAGTGGGGACACGGAAGGGTTTTAGGAGGCATCTGGTTGGCCGCAGGGCAGTGAATGGTCAGAGTGAGCCATCCCCGGGAGGAGGCGTCTGCCGGCTGTTTCCTGCTGGGGCCTCACCGGATCCCCCGCCCCGGGGTCCCGGGGGGCTGCTGGAAGCCGGGAACCCGCGCCCCCCAGTGTGCGCGAGGGCGTCGGGCGGTTATCTGGGCTGTGCTGTCTGGCTAATCTCGCGGCCGGAGTTTCTGTGCAAACCTCAAGGTCTGTTATCGGCGGCGGCCGAGGCGGGCCGGCCTGTGCTGACGGACAGCCGGAGATGGGCAGATACCCGGCCACGCTCGCCCTCCCGCCAGCCCACGTGTGGGTGGGAAAATCATCCCAGCTATTCTGTGCTATCGCAGGCCTGGCGCTGCCGCCGATAGCGCCTATTTGTCTTAGATTAGGGGCGGGGGAGGGAGGCCGAGGATGCTGGGGTCGGCCTGGGGTCAGCCCCAGAGACCAGGCCCAGTGGCTGGATCGGAGCCACCCCTCTGGGCGTCCCAAGGAAGGGGGTCCCCACGGGCCATCCCCGGCCCACTGCAAGCCCTCCTGGAGGGACATGTCCCTGAGACCCGGGGGCCTTATGCCTGTCCTGACCTCCTCAACTGTGGCCAGGAATCGGAGGTGGAGCTCGACTCCCGGGGCCGTGCGTCTGCGCGGTGGGCACGCTTCCCTCCCGGCGTCCACGGAGCATGCTCAGGGCCGGCCTGCCCCCTACAGGTGTGCCGTGGGGGACACAGGACAAGGTGTCCAGGCCGGAGTGGCCAGGAGCAGGAGGGTCGTGTTCCTCCGGCCAGTCCCCGGGGCCTGTCCCCAGTGAGGGAGCGAGCCCAAGCGGTCCCGCCCAGAAACACCATGTGTCCCAGGGAGGGGGTCGGGGCCTCCCTGTGCTGACATTGGAGCCACATCCCAAGCGAGTGAAGCGACAACCAGCGGCTGACTCCGTGTAGCCGGCGCAGGCGCCATGAAGTGGAGGCCCGAGGCCCCAGGGTGCGCCTGGCCCAGTGGCGAGTGCAGGGTGGTTGTCTTGGAAACCGGGTTCAGAGGTTACAGGCTTTGGCCAGCATGGCTGTGGGTCACTGCCAGCAGGTGGACACCTCGGCCGCCCGGGCCCGGCCTGAGCTCTTTCCCTGATGCCCTCGTCCCCTCCTAGAGCATCGGGCCCTGGCCAGTGGGGCCCGCACCCCGGCCTGTGTCCGCAGCGGAGCGCGGGACCACCCTCTCCAAGCCAGGCCCTGCGGGCGGAGCCCGGGGCCCACCCACAGCCCGAGCCCGCTCCCCCGTCCACGGTGCCACACAGTCCTGACCTGGGCCACGGCTGCACCCCGGAAGTACTGACTTCCCGCCACAGGCCCTGGCCACATGGGAGCCGCCTCCTCGGCCTAGTTCTGACTCCGCCTCCACGGTGGGGTCCAGCAGCCACGGGAGGAGCAGGCCATCAGCAGAGCGCGTCCGCATTCACTCACTCCCTGGCACTCGTACTAATTGAGCACCTGCTGTGTGCCAGCCCTGCCTTAGGCACCAGGGTCTGGCATGCACAAAGCAGACGCAGACCCCACCTCCTGGAACAGCAGCGTGGCGGGGAGAGCAGTCGGCAGGGAGCCCGGACCGTGGCCAGGACACGCGGGCTGAGACATGCGGAGCCCGTGGGGGCTGCCGCAGAGAGCTCCGCAGCCAGGGAGCAAGACCCGTGCAAAGGCCCTGGGTGGGCCCCGTCTGGAGGCCGAGGGGTGGCAGGAAGCGGGGCCATGGCAGAGCCTGGTGCCAGCAGGCACTGGGGCAGCTCCGCCATGGGACGGGGGAGGTTTTCCCTGGATCCCGCTGGCCACTCGAGGGAGGGACTGTAGGGCTCCCGGGCAGACGCAGGGGACGCGGGGAGAGGATGGACTGCGGCACAGCGCTGGCCGAGCGGCCTGGAAGCAGGCGCCAGGGACCCCACTCAGATGTGGAAGCCGAGGCCGGAGAGGTCGGGCAGCCACTCGCTCCTGCTCGGGGGAGGGGAATGGGCAGCCAGCCCGCGGCCTGCCTCCCGGGCCCATCCACCCCTCCCAGACCCAGCCCCTGGGACTCCCCCGGCTCCCTGGCCCCCCTGGGGGGCAGACACCCCGTGAGGAGCAGGGGGAGCCCTCGCTCTCCAGCCGTCCCGGCGGCGGGTGGGCCTGGCCTGGCCGCTGACCTCACCCACCTTCCGGGAGCGGCTGTCTGTGGCCAGGGCAGCCTATCTCGGTCACGGGCCCTAATCGAGCCCGGCTTCCTCCTCCGCCCTCCGCCGGCTTCCTGCCCGGCCGGCCCAGCCCTCCTGACGCCAGCAGCCGGGCCCACCAGGCCTCACCTGCGGGAGCCTCGGCGCCACCTCCCGGAGGCCTCCCTCCTGGCCCAGCCCTGTGGCCTGGGGCATCCACCAACCCCTGGAGCCCGACGCCCCCTCCGTGAACAGCCACAGGCACGCTGGGGAGGACGGGTTGGCACTGCACAAGCGGTGGGTCGCTGGCCAGTGGTTACTGCCATGGCTGCCCTCGTCACTGTGATCAGGCACAGCCACCAGCGCTGTCACTCACACTAGCACTGTGAGTGTCATTCGTGCGGGGACGGTCGTCAGCACCGCTGCAGCACCACCACCGTTTCGGCGCTGCCACCAGCACTTACCGCTAACGCTGTCGCTGCCGCTGCAGTAGCACCGTGGCTGTGGCTGGCGCCATCGCTGTTACGAGTGCCATCACTGTCACGGCCCGCTGGCACGCGGACAGGCCCGGCTGCCGGCTGTCCCCTCTCTCTGGAGACCCGGGGCCTGCCGCGCCCCATTCTGGGCCCAGGTTCCTCGTTTACTGGGTGGGACGGGCCAGGCAGCCTGGGGCTCGCGCAGGGCAGGGCACGCGGTTCTCACGCCTGGGCGGTCGGCGCAGGTCCCCCGGCCCCAGCGGTACTTCGGTGTCCTCGCCGTGGGGGTGTGGCCTCAGCTGGGGAAACGTCGGGTTTCTCTCAGGCCGTCCCCTCCCCGCACTGGCCTGGCTTCTCCGCCACCTCCTGCCCCAGGAGGGAAACCGAGGCGTCGCTGCCGGTGCTGACGGCAGTCATGGGTGCAGGGCCTCGCGTCTGTGCTGTTCGTCACGGGGTCACCCCTCAGCCCCAGGGAGTGGGCTGGAAGGAGGGCAGGAGGACACTGTGGCCCGGTGAGCTGACGGGACCAGCCCCAGTGACCCCTGACCCCCAGCCCCCCCAGGATGTGACACTGAGAGGCCCCCCACTCCCCACCACGCGGCGGTGGCTGCGCCTTGTTTACTCATTACTCTGCTCTCTGTGCGCGTAACTTCTGATTTCCTCACCGCAGTTTCCCATTATGGCGGCCGTGGACGCGGCCGATAAGATCGGTCCCCGCAGACGGGACAAAGGGCCGCCATCAGCTCGAGGGCTGGTCATATCCTGCCCGAAGGGGCCGAGCGGGGCCTGAGATGATGCCAGATGCTATCTCGGGGCTTATTGTGTCTCAGGAGGGGCGCCGGCCCTCGCGCCCCTGGCCCAGCCCTGGGCATAAAGGCACCTGCCTCGGCCCCCGCAGACCAGGTGCCTGCACACCCGCACACCGCCCTACCCAGCAGACAGCTGGTGCCCCGCGGCGTGTGGGGCGCAGTCAGGGGCTTTGGCCCCAAGTACCCATCTGGGCCCACCTTAGGCTCGACCCACAGCCTCCCGGGGATGGGACCCACCCACCCGCGCAGCCCAGCGAGCCTCACACCCAGGTGGGAGCTGCCCTCAGCGCTGGCTTCTGGTTTATCCCAGAAAAATCACCTCGGTGTGGACGGGCATCGGGGCAGCGAGGAGAGTCGGCACGGCCGTGCGGAGGATCGCGGGCCCTCTGTTTATTTTTTTCTTTTTGCTGTTCTGCAAAATGTCTACAAAAAGAGGACGAAGGGCCGGGCGCGGTGGCTCACGCCTGTAATCCTAGCTCTCTGGGAGGCCGAGGAGGGAGGATTGCTTGAGGTCAGGAGTTCGAGACCAGCCTGAGCAAGAGCGAGACTCCGTCTCTACTAAAAATAAAAAGAAATTATTTGGACAACTAAAAATATGTAGAAAAAATTAGCCGGACATGGTGGCGCATGCCTGTAGTCCCAGCTACTCGGGAGGCTGAGGCAGGAGGATCGCTTGAGCCCAGGAGTTTGAGGTTGCTGTGAGCTAGGCTGACGCCACGGCACTCTAGCCCGGGCAACAGAGTGAGACTCTGTCTCAAAAAAAAAAAAAAACACTCACTTTAGCCAGGGCAAGAGAGTGAGACTCTGTCTCAAAAAAAAGTAAAATAAAAAAAGGAGGAAACGATTCTCAAAGAAGCAAATGTGTCACGGGTGCCCGCAGAGGCGTCTCCCTCGCACTCGGGTGGGCCAGACAGCAGCCCTGGGGCTAAGGACAGAGCAGCCACTCTGCCGCCACCTTCCCAGGGCCCCAACCTGAAGCCTCTCCCCAGAGGCCAAGCCCTCTCGGCCTCCCAGGGCGCGGCTGTCTCTGCCACAGAGAAGAGGCGGAGGGTCACTCAGCGGGGCGGGTTGGGGGGGTGGATGGACCACTGCTTCTGGCATGGGACCCCGGTGTGGGCCAGCCTCTGGCTGGATGGCTGCACATAGCACTCGATTTGGGGGCCAGTGGGGAGCCCCAAGCGCTCCTGAGCAGAGGTGCAGAAGGAAGGGACCGTGTCTGGGACGGGGCAGCCTGGCCCAGTCTTTGTTCTGCTTGTCCCCTCTGAACTCACAGCCGCACGTCTCACTGTGTGTCCAGGTCCTCTGTGGCCCTCGGTCTCCTCATCGGTAACCTGTTGGTCGATACCATTAAAGCGCATATCCGCCAGCCTCATAGAACCACACGTGGTGTTAGCGGTTGACGGGGACGTGGGTGGGCCTCAGGCTCCCCACCTGAAGAAGCCCCTGTTGTGGGCTAGATGGCAAGTGAGTCCCCAGGAAGCTGCTTTTCCTGGAGGGGCTTTTGCAGCGCTCGGGGGCTTGTGGTGCCCTAGGTGGTGGCAGTATCGCCGTAGTCTGTGTGGTCCACGACGTCCTCACGGGCACCTGCGTCAGCACCCGCTGCTGCCCCCAGTGGGGCCAGGCGCTTGCTGGGCCAGGCGGGACGGGCCCTGCCCACGGTAGGTGGCTGCCCCCAGGGCCTCTGCCCAGACCCCCTCTCGCGCCCACCCTCCTGCCCGATCTCCAGGGCAGGGATGGGGTTCCCGGGACGCGTGAGCAGGGCAGGCCGGGCCGAGAGGTGGTCAGCGGAGGCCGGATGGGAAGGAGGGTCCTTGGGGGCATCCGGAGGGCCCGGGCCAGGCGCCCAGGCTGATCGGAGCCAGATAAGGATAGAAAATGCCTCCCGCGCAAACACTTTATCGCACATCCTGCCCCGGCCAGCCGGCCGGCAGCTCAGCCGGGACCCCCACCCAGCTCTCAGCCACAGGGCCCCCTGAGACCAGCGTCCCAGGGCCCAGGGGCTGAGGGGCTCCGTGTCCCCACTTCACAGGTGGGAGACTCGGGGTGTGCAGCCGCCGAGAGGCCTGGACAGGCCGCGAGTCCCTGAGCTCCGGGGTGACTGGAAGGGTGTCAGGCCCCATCGCGGAGGAGCCGCCGTCTGCGTGGGAAGAGGGAAGGCCCTTCCTGGGCCCAGCACGCGGAGCCGGGGGCTAGTGGAAGGTGTAGGCGCCGCGTGCACCCTGGCGCTCCTGCTGGTCTGGCCGCAGTCGCCGCCCGAGAGGGGCAGGGGTGGTGTCTGAGACGTGTCCCCCGCCACAACCTCCTCTGGGAGCCTGTTCCGAGAGGGCAGCTCTGGGCCTGCACGCGGCCCCACTGCCCACCCGTCCCAGCCCTGTCCACGTCCCTCCCTGGGACAGGCCGCCGGGCCCGCAGGTGTTGCGGGGTCTGAAGGGCCCAGGAAGGGGGCCGGCCCCACCCTCCGCGGCCTGCTGTTCCCAGGCGGCCCCAGCTCTGCCATTAGCCGGGGCCAGGGTTCAGCCCGATAAAGATGGGCTGTTGTTCTGTGTCAAAAAATCAATAATCCCAGCGATGTTCCGCGCGATAGGGAGAGAAGTTCGCAGGCACCAGCTGGCGGGCGGGGCAGGGTGGGGGGGGGGGCTCCAGCACAGCTGCCCTCCCTCCCCCGCAGCCCTGGGCAGCGGCTGCACCGCACACTCCAGGCCCAGGCGGGGGTTGTGCTCCCCTCCACGCCCACTGCCCCTTGCGGCCTCTCTGTGGACGGCAGCCTGCGAGCCACCAGCAGTGAGGAGGCGGAGCCCGAGTGGCTGTGCCCTCCCCGGGGTCACAGGTTCAGGGAGGTGAGAACAGATGCGGGAGGCGGCGGCACGGGCCACGGGTGCCCGTCCTGTGCCCGGCGGGAACAGCTGCCCTCTCTCCCAGGCCGTTCCCCCTCCAAACACAGCGCTAAATCCGCGATGTTGGGGACACAGCTGTCGGTGGCCCGGCCCCGAGTGGCCAACAGTCCAGCCAGGAGACAGAGAGTAAAATCGAGGCGTCCACTCCAGGGCTCCCTCGGAGGCGGTGAGCGCTCTGGGGACAGGAGGCAGGGAGGTAACGGGGAGGGGCCCCGTGCCTGGCACTGCTGGCCCCTGTGCGGCCCACGTGGAGCCGGCCCCCGTGCCCTCGACTCCCAGGGACGTTGCGCCCGCCGGCTCTGCCCCAGCACCCGGCAGCGCTTGGCCGGGAGACGGTGCCACGCCCCGTGGGCGGGACTTCGGCCCGCGGCCCTTGTCTGGCGGGAGGAGAGCGCGGCAGGTGCAGCCGGCTGGCAGGGCCCTGGGGCTCTGGACAGGTGCGTCCCACCCCAAGGGAGGGAGCCCCTGCAGCCCGGCCCCCGCAGCCAGCCCCTGTGGTGCAGGGTCCAGGGGAAAGTTCACAGGACGGGAGGGCGGTTCTGAGGCTTGAAGCCCTTTGGTAACCTCTGACCTGGGGTGCCGGGGGCCCTCGCCCCGGGAGGGCTCGGGGCTCTGAGTCTCCTGGTCCGCAGGGGTGTGTCCTGGCAGAATGGCTGGTCGGTGGCGATTGAAGGACTCACCAGGCTTCTGCCAGTAGCCTGGGTGGGGGGTCTCGCTGCTCCCCTGGGCCTGGGGAAACCAGCCCAAAGGGGAGACGCCTCCCAGCTCCGGCAGGCGTGGGGGCCTAGGGGAGAGGGGGCGCCCCTGGGGCCTCTCCGAGGCAGCAGGACAGGCCTACAGGGCAGCTGGCTGCCCACAGTGGCCTTGACCTCGGCAGCTCACCCAGGCATTCGGGTGCTCAAGGACAGCGTCGCTGGGCCCCTTTGCAGATGGGGAGATGAGCCCCGAGGTCCAGCCGTAGCCCCGTAGCCCCCCAGGTCAGGGACCACCTTCCTCAGCCTATCCCAGGTCCCACACAGGGACTGTGGGCAGCCACTGCCTCCTCTGGGCCATAGACAGGCAGCTAAGAAAAGGGGCCGGCAGGGGCACGGTGAGGCAGGGATGCTCCGAGAAGCGGAGGGGCCCCTGGACCGTGAGCACCCCGCTTCCGTCTCTCACCGGGCGCGGCCTTGCTCCCCGCCAGATCTCAGGGCGGGGGCCACGGCATCCACCTGGGACAGACCCTTCCCTGCTGCCCAAGAGGCCGTCCCGGCCACAGGCCTTGGCGTTTGCACGGCCTCGGGTTGTCCTGGCGCGTCCTGCTCCCCGGGCTCCCGACTCTCCCCTGAAAACCGCAGTCCGGGAGGCGGCCCTCCGTGGCGCCGTGGCCCTGTGGTGCATCCACGGAACCTGGGCTCTGCCGGCAGGCCGGCAGCTGCCAAACCCCCCATGCAGCTGGGCCGGGGGTGCCCACATGGCGGCGTGGCTTCCCACCGTCCCTGTGGTGGCCACAGCCTCATCCTGCCCCCGTGGCACCGTCCCCGAGCAGTCAGGGAGCCCTGTCACCACGGGAGGCGGGGCTGGCGCTGTCCCATTCTGTGGACCTGGAGCTTGAGGCTGGGGCAGCTGAGAGCCCGGCCACGGTCATGCAGACCAGCACCCTGGCCCTTCCACACTGAGCACACATTGGGCACCCACTGTGTGCCGGCCCTGTCCTACACGTACCTCAGCACCTCATGCGTCGTGTCACCTCACCTGGCCACAATTGAGGCAGGTGCCGTGAGCCCCCATTTCACACAAGAAGAAATGGAGGGCTTGGGGGAAAGTGACCTCATCGGCTGGGAGGTGGCAGGGCAGGAGACAGACCCAGGTTCTAGAGCCGTGGGGCTGGCAGAAGTTTGTACATCATCCCCTAGTAGTTGGGTTAGTAGGAGTCAGCTCCCCAACACCCCCGGGCTGCTCAGTCCCAGAAAGGCGGGGCCGGGGTCAGTTGCTGAGGCAGGGAGGACAGGCACACCCTGGATGGTGGTGGCCCCCTCTCCCCTTCCCATTGTCTCTGTCCTGGGGCCTCAGCTGCCACCTAGATCACAGGCCTCCCAGGCAGGAGGGTCACACAGGGGCAGGAAAAGGGCTGGACTTTGGAGCCAGTGACCTTGGACCAGTCCCTGCACCCTCTGTGCAGGGGGGTCCGTGGGATGTGCCCGAGCGGGGGGCTGAGCAGACGTGTCCGCGCACAGCCGTGTCCCGGAGAGCCTGCGGGTGCCCCGTCGGGCCCAGGAGGACGGGCCGGCCTGCCCGCCGCCGCCATGGGGAGCCTCGCGCCCTGCCTGGCCCTGCTCCCGTGTTTGTGCGGGACGTGTTGGGAGCAGATAGATGTTTCCAGGGCCCACAGCCGCACGCAGCCTCCCGCTCCCTGCCCACGCCCACAGAGGCTTCTAGAACCTGCCAGCCTGGGGCTTCCCCCTCCCCCACTCCTTTTTCTTTCCTTTTCTGTGACTTTTATCAAAGGCAAACAGCATGATCCCTGAGATAGGGCCTCTCCCAGCGAAGCGGGGCCCAGCTGGCCCGTGGGAGCCGCGGGGCGGCCCGAGCAGGGCGATGGGCCGATTAGATAAGCGGGGGCTGGCACGGCCCCGGGGGGGGGTGCCAGCCACAGAGCCCACCTCCCGGGACGGGGACTGGGGTGCTGTGCCGTGCGCTCAGGCGGCCACCGGCCATTAGCACAGACAGAGCCTGGCCCCTAAGGCGAGGCAGGCCAGTGGGGCACAGGAGGGAGCCCCCAAGCTCACTGACATCTCTGCAAACCCACAGGAGCACCCCTCACCTGCCCCCTGAGTCAGAGCTACGAGCCAGCCTCCGGGGGCCGCTGCTCAGGTGGGGGGGCCAAGGCCGCGGTGGCTGTGCACAGGGGCTCAGGGGCAGGTGGCCCAGGCTGGAGCCCTGGACCCTCTGTCAGAGAGGAGCTCAGAGGGGGGCACTCCTGGCGTTGTGGCCCCCCAGATGGGCCCTCAGGATGGACCCTCCTTCGCAAGCTTGCTGCCACCCCGAGTCAGGGAGGTGGGATGGTGCCACGCCGGACATGTCCGTGTGGAGGGGACCCCAGGGGCAGGGGATAGGGGGCAGAGGCCTCGTCTGAGAAGCCAGCAGCTCCAGGTCAGCCTCGGGGGGCCCCAAACCTTGGGACTCCCACCTAGTGCGACTCCCCAGCCTACCTGGGCAGCTGAGAGAGAGAACAGCGGTGGCTGCACCGGCAGACATGTCCCCAGAACTGCATGGCCACTGGCCTGGCGTGCCAGCACCCCTTCTACAGACGGGTAAGCTGAGGCTCGCAGCACACGCACGACCTCCAGTGGGCGGCAGGGCAGGGCTGGCCCCCCAGTGATTCCAGAGCCCGCTGTCCCGCCCAAGGCACCCCGACCCGGGACAGTGGCAGAACAACCCGGCGACCCCTCACCCCGGGGCCCACGCTCTGTGGCCAGCAACGCTCAGCCCTGTCTCCTGTTTCTGCCCCCTCCCGACACTCTCGTGCCCAGCGGTATTGCCGGGAGTGTTTGCCCCGCGTAGGTGTTTAGATCAGGTAAATACGCGGCGGCTGAAGTTTTCCATTTGGTTCCTTGCAGGTGTTGGGGGTGAAATTGAACCCCAGAGCCCCCTGTTTGTTCTGGAAACACCGTGTGCGGGTTGTTTGTCTGAATAGATCAGTTGTCCCATGCTGTGCGGGGCCTGTCGCTCCTCAGGCGAGACCTGTCTGCAGAAGGGGAAACCGAGGCCAAGGCAGGGAGAGTCAGCCACGGGACAGACCAGCCATGCCCTCACCATCCCCCCGCCCAGAAAAGGATGCAGAGGTTCTGACTGGAACAAGGTCAGGGCTCCGGTCGAAGCCCCACCTGCCTAAGCCCCACCTGCCTGCTCTGTGCCCTTGAGCCGGTTGCTTAACCTCTCTGAGCCTCAGGCTCCGTCTGCGCAGCGAGGGGGCGATGACTTGCGCGTGGCGGGGAGGAATCCCGGCAGACCGTGCCGGGCCTGGCTACGGCTCAGTGATGGGGGCTGAGAGCGTATGAGGATTGTGGCTCTTGGGGACAGAAGGTGTCGTCCCTGTCCTCCGGCTGGGGGACTCGGCCAGGCGCTGGTCTCTCTGTGCTGCGCTCGCCCAGCTGCTCCAGAGCGGGGACGAGGCAGAGAGAATGGTCCCAGGAGGCTGCCAGGAAGGACACCTCCCCCTGGAAGCCCACCCCGAGCGGCCCACCACAGAAGCCGCCTGTGCCCGTGGGGGTGTCTGGCCATAGCCTGTTTCCCAGGAGGCCCCAGGGCAGAGGATGTGCCTCCCTCTCGCAGCCCCAGGTGCCCCGGGGGTGGCTGAGCGAGCACTGAGCCACGAGTCCAGGGTCTGGTTCCACCTTGGGTGCTCCTCGGCCGCCCTGGGGCCCAGGGCCCCGTCAGCGTGGTGGGGAGCTGACCCTCTGCACGGCCGCCACCGCCTGCACCCTCTGGCTGTTGCAGGGACCTGTCCTGCCTCCCGCCTCCGTCCATCCTCAGCCCTGAGCGAGTCTGCCAGCGCAGGCGCCTCCTCACCCCCTTCTCCGGTGCAGTGTCACTCTGGCGGGAGGGGGTCTCCGGGAGATGCCACTGGGCTTTAACCACGCCGGACCCCGTCTGGGCCGTGTGGGGCGGGGAAGGAACAGCAGTTGGAGTGCGCAGAGGGGCGTTGAGCGTCACCAGGCCACCATGGACAGTTGCCCGGGTCACGCGTTGCACAAGGGCACGGGGTGAGCCCGGGTGATCACCTGTGCCCCCCTTCCCGGTCCAGGCACCTGCGTGGCCCCGTGACCCCTGCAGGAGGCGCTCTTTCATGCACGCAACCTCAGAAACGCTGACCCAAAGCCTGGACCGGGGCGGGGGTTGTCATGGTGACCGTTGCCCTGGTCCCAGCCCTGCATCCTCAGCCCCCTGGGCTCCCCGCCTCCCCCAGCCCCGGTGTGCGGAACGGCCGCCGGCATCGGAGCCAGCCCTCTCTGGCGGCGCGTGATAGCCGTGGGAAACGCCAGCCGCGCGCTTATCTGGGGGCTCGCGGCCGCGCTGGAGCTCCGATTAGGAGCGGGGCCGTTTGCCTGTGGGTACAGAGCGGGCCGTGGGCAGGCGCTGGCCCTGCCTCCTTGCCTTCCCCACGGCGGCTGGGGGCAAGCGAGAGCCCAGGGCTGCAGGCAGAGGGCCTGGGCGCCCCACGGGAGTGACCGGCAGGGCGGGCGTGGACACCGCAGGCCCCCGCAGGCTCCTGTCACGGAAGTTCTGGGTACTGGGAAGAAAGTACGTGACCGCTTCCCTCGAAGGGCGTCGTGGGCACCCGTGGGCCAGCTGTGCCCTCAGGGGGTCCTGGGTGGGTCCTCTTTGAGCCCTGCCCTGGCCACATGGTCCCAGCAGGAAAAGATGCCTGTCCGGGTGGTTTCTAGTTGCCCGCCCTTGGCCCAGCGCCCCGAGTCGGGGTCCGTGGAGGGGCAGCTCACAGGCGTAGTCGGGGGTGGGTGTCAGGACCCGTCGCTGGACAGACAGATGGGCCGCGTGCCCAGCCAGCTCCCCGTGGGGCAGCCTCTCCCCTCTCCCGTGCCCAGCCCTGAGCGCCCGGTGGGGCCAGAGACACAGGTGCACCCGGGCCAGGAGGGGCAGGGACCCTGCCACCGTCAGTGATTGGGGTCACCTCTGGAGCCAGGCGTCAGGGTCAGGTCCCAGCACCCACTGCCAGCTCTGTGGCCTCGATGGGCCTTGGTCTTGTCTATACAGAGTGACACGTCACAGGAACAGGTGACTGGGTGTCCCCTTAGGGCCACGCAGTGCTGGCTGGGCCATGTCCCTGTCCCTCAGCTGGGCCCCCACCGCCCTCTCTGTGCCAAGCCCTGTGGGGGAGCGGGGTGGCGGGGGAGCAGGGACCCAGGCGTCCTGGGTGGGCTGGCAGAGGACGTGGCCCCCTGTGGGCGGCCGTGAGGGACGGAGCCTGCTTGCTGCTGCCACCTCCTGCCCCGGCTGTCCCTGGGCCTGACACAGGGGCGGCTCCGCTGCTCAGCCGTGGGCCAGCCTGCCTGGGTCGCTGCCACCTTATCTGCCCGGGGAAGACAAAGACCCAGTTAAAACGCTTTAGCGGGGCCTCCAGCGCATTTACATGTTATCTCCGCCATTAGGCGGTCGCTATCTGATCATCGGCCCATTAAGGCCACAGCCTGCCCAATCGGGGCTCCAGGAAGTGGGGCCGCCACAGCCTCCAGCCAGGGCCAGGCCAGGCCACGTGAGGCCTCCGTGGGCCCCCAGCCCTGGCAGCAGGAGAGGCACAGGGTGGCCCAGCCTTCACAGCAGAGGGTGTGTGGCCTGGGAGGGACCCCTCCGAGGGAGGGGCCGCCATCGTCCCTGTGTCCCCCTGGAGGCTGAGGCTCAGGGAGGGACTTGGCGGGTGCGAGTGTCCTGTGGCCACCTGGCAGATGAGCTCACATGGGGCCGGGACAGCAGGCGTTTGTCCTCCCAGTCTGAGCCCACGTCGGTCCTCGTGGCCACATCACTCGGGCCTCTTCACGTGGCCTTCTCTGTGTCCCGTCTGTGCGGGTCGTGAAGACCTGTCCTTGGAGCTCCGGCCCCCGATGCTCCGGGATGGTCCCGTCAACTTACCCACGTCTGCAAAGAGCCTTTTTCCAAATGGAGGCGCACTTGCCGCTTGCAGGTGGACGTGTCTCTGGGGGCCACCGGTCAGCCCACGACACGAGGTCACGCAGACCTGCCCAGCCCTACAGCCCGGGGGAATGGCCACTGGTGGGGACTTCGTGACAGCCGCAGCCCAGGGGCGCCCGCCCTCCGCGGCCCTGGGCGACTCCGGTGGGAGGGGACAGTGGGCCCCACGGCCAGGCGCACCTCACGCCTGCCTGTCTCTGCAGACGAGCTGGAGCCGGTGATGCAGGACGGCCGGAAGCACGTGCGGGCCCGACTCAGCCTCGCCGCGGGCCTGTGCTGGGGCCCATTCGCCGGGAACGTCCAGACCAGAGCCTCGTCGCCCCGGCAGGCAGAACCGGTAAGGAGCCCCGGCCCCGGGCCCCTCCCGCACACTCGGTGCAGGGCAGCGTCCGCCCCGGGCAAGGCCCCTTCGGCCCCCCGCACCCCACCCGCAACTGGGCCTGGCTTAGACCCCAGCACAGAAGCTCTGGCCCCTGAAACAGGACCCGGAGGCCCGGGAGGAGCTCAGTGCCTGGGCTCAGGGCGTCCTGGAGGAGGTGGGACCTGTGGGACCCCAGGGAAGGCTTCCTGGAGGAGGGGTTCTTTAAGCAGGACCCAGTGGTGCTGGGGACAGTGGAGAGGCCTGTGCAGGGGGCAGGTGTGCCAGTGCTCGGGGGGCTGCGGCAGAGGGGAGAGAGTCAGCCCGTTCCCGTCTGTGTGGGTCTTTGACGGGGGACAGGGCGCCCATGGTCCTCATGGCCTCACCACATTCGCCAATCTCTTTTGGTGACAGAGCCCCTGCCCCGGCAGAGCCTCCAAAGGCAGCTCCCTTCCTGCTAGAACGAGTCCCCTGTGTCTGCCTTGGGTTTGCTTCTGAGGCCGCCGTCCATCTACAGCAAAGCATCCTGCTTTCCTCTTGCGGGGGCGGGGGTTACGAAGGTTTATTTTTAAACACGTCTCAGTTAAGACAAGGCATGAGTGGACAGGGACTAGCAGGTGAATGTGGGGCCACGGTGTGGGCAGCAATGGTGTGGCAGGAATTAGGGGGCTGGTGTGGGAAGATGTCTGGGAGACGCCTCTGAGCCCTGGGAGGCTGATGGCATCCCGGGTCGGTACCCTCAAGCCCAGGCTTAGATGCTCCCAATGGGCAGGTGCAGCCATGGCTTGGCCCCTTTTTGTTTCCTGATGTGGCATTCAGGTATGGCTTGATCCAGGGTATGCACTGGCTGGCTGGTGCCACGTGGTGCTAGGTCTCTTGGTCCTGAGGACCCAGGTGTGGGCCCCCGTCGGCTTGCTCCATGTTCTCAGAGGCAGAGCAGGGCTGTGTGGGCCAGGCTTGCCCTGCACCTGGAGGCCAGGTTCTGCCCTGGCAGCTCTGAGCAGCTCTGAGCTGACAGTTGGAGCCATGGCTCTCAGCCTGGGAAACACGGTGCCGGGACGCAGGCCCAGAAGAGCCCGCAGGGCTGGTAAAGCTGCAGACCCTGGGACCTGCCCACAGGCCCCCTGCATCCCCCCCGTCCCCCCCTCCCCCCATGCACCACAAAGTCCGGGCCATACGGTCTCATCAAATCAGAATCTCTGCCAGGGCCAGATGTTGGAAAAGCCTGCTGGGTTCTAAGGTGCAGCCCAGCTGAGGGTCCCCCGAGAGGGGCAGGTGCTAGTCCCAGGCCCAGGGGCATCTGCCTGCGTTGTCAGGCCGTCCCCCTTACACAGGGCCCTGATCCTGGGGTCTCCTGCCTGTGTGCCATCTCCTCACTGTGCACCCCCAGGCAGGCCCTGCCCACTCTGAGCCTCCACCTCCTCAGCCTTTGGGACCTCGGGCAAGACACAGGAGGCCCTGAAGCTCCTCTAGGCCTGGGCCTGCAGACCCCGCAACCTCCCTGAGAGGGGAGGGTGGCAGCGCCGTGCTCTGGTCTGTGGGCTGGGAAGCTGGCGGCACAGCTGCCTGCCAGGGCGGCTGCACAAGTGCTGCAAGACCGGCCAGGAGTGAGTTTTTCTCAGGGCTGACTCAGTGGTGGGGCAGCCAGCAGCCCTGCAAGACAATGACCGCCTTGCCCCGGGGCCCCAGGCAGACAGCTGGAGGGATAACAGTGGAAGCTCGAGGGTGGTTGATTAGGGCTCCAAGGAAGGAGCCACGTTTCAGCTCCACCGTGGGGAGGAAGCTGTGGTGTTTAGAGCTGGCTTTGTAAGAAGTGAGCTCCTCATCAGTGGAGGTGTGCAAGCAGCAGTTGACTCTTCTGGGATGCTGGGATGTAGGGATGCTGGCAAGCCTTTAATAGTTAGAAGAAGAAATGCGTGGGTGGGCTGGGAGCTCCGTGGCACTCAGCTTTCAACTCTCAGAGGGTCAAGAAAACCTTATGTCGTGACCAGGAGCAAAGAGAAGGGTGGCCAGGAGCTGAGATGTGGCTCTCAGCGTGTTCAGCACCTCTCTCCTCCGCGCTCTCCCTGGGGACATCAGCCCTATCCCAGACACGGGTGCGTGTTCCAGGCATGCTCCACACGCCTGTCCTCGCGTGTGGCCCCTCATCTCTCCCCGCCCTGCCACCATCCCCATTTTACAGGCCTCAAGGCTGAGGCTTAGTGAGTTACCCACGTCCCCAGGATCAAATAGCAGAGGGACCCAAGTCTGCCCACCCCCAGAGACCCCCGCAGGCCCCGCGGTGATGGGGTTGAGGGGCTGGCATCAGCCCCGGAGCCCAGCTTGTCCCCACCTGCCACCCGTCGCCCCGCTCCCTCCGCCTGCCGCCTCCGTGCCAGGGGTTTTGTCCTCCTCGGGCCTGGGTGCCGCTCATCCGAGGGAGACCCGCGCAAGGTCACAAATGCTCTGCGCACTGCGGGATCAGGTCAGGGGGCGAGAGCCAGAGAACCCTCTGAGGCTCACACAGGAGCCAGAGGAAGGAGCGCCGCGCCCCCCCCCAGCTTATCTCCCGCAGAATTAAAGCTCGATTAACCCTTATCTGCCCAGCGAGGCGCTATCTCCGCCTTGGCGCCGAGTGTCCAGACACACCGTACAAGATGATTGATTTCTTAAAGATACGAACGCCTTTCCGATACTTCATTTATTGTCTAAATATTTTTGCTAACGTTTCAACGGGCCCTTATCGTCCTGGGCTGATGGGTCCCAGTTCTCCTCCCCGCACCTCCCCGAGGAAGACGTAGCCCCTGCCCCAGATTGTCCTATCAGCTGCCGGGCGGTTTGTCTTCTCTCTCTGGAGACGCAGAAGGGAGGGGGTGGATCGGATGCTGTGACCCTCCCCCGCTGGTCTTAGGCCTGCGCGTTGCTCACAGACGGGGGCGAGTGAGGGACAGGGAGCTTCCCCCACAATCCCTGCGCACAGAACACTGGGTTGAGTGCCCGGGAAGGAAACTGAGTGCACAGAGCCCTGGCCAGGAGTCAGAGTGTTAGTTCTGGCACCGATGCTGTATGACCTGGATCACGTCCCTTCCCTGAGCCAGCAATGGCTTCCAGCACTGCCAAGTCAGGGGTCGAAAGAGAGAATCCTCAGGGGGCCAGCCAGCTCCAAAACTTAAAGTCAGATGCAGAAGAAATGCTCATGATGGTGGATGGGTGGATGGGTGAGTGGGTGGGTGGATGGATAGATAGGTGAGTAGATTGATGAATGAGTGGGTGGGTGGATGGATAGATGGTGGGTGGATGGATGGATAGATAGGTGAGTAGATGGATAGATAAATGGGTGGATGGATGGATGGGTGGGTAGATGAATGGATGGGTGGATGGATGGGTGGATGGGTGGGTGGATGGATGGATGGATGGATGGATGGATGGATGGGTGGATGGATGGGTGGATGGGTAGGTGGATGGATGGATGGATGGATGGATGGATAAATGGGTGGATGGATGGGTGGATGGATAAATGGGTGGATGGGTAGATGCGTGGGTGAGTGGATGGATGGATGAATAAATGGGTAGATGGATGGGTGGATGGATGGATGGGTAGATGGGTGGATAGGTGAGTGGTTGGGTAGATGGATGGATGCTGGGTGGATGGATGGGTAGATGGGTGGATAGGTG